TTGTGTCCAGTTTGGACTTCATTGCCTCATATTCTCTATCGAGGGCATCTCGCTCCGCGACGGCCGAGCTTAGTTGTACTCAAAGATCATCATTCAGTTGAGACCGTTTGTCATCTTTGTCCTTCACCACCCGGAGTTGGTTCTCAACTGATGACAGCTCCGCCTTAGCGGTTTACTTCTTCGAAGCCAGCTGGACCATTCGGCCTTTCCACCATTCGGCCATGGCCTGGACCTAGTTCATCTCGGCTCAGAGCTGGTCGATCAGGTCGATCTTCTATTAGACCTGCGAGGTTGTGTTGTTAGTCACTACGACTAGCTCCTTGTTTTTAGCTTCAAAGACCTTTACCTTTTCAACCAATTCGGCATGTTCCCACTTCAGGGTCGAAGTTTCCTTTTGAGCCTTGTCCAGCTCGGCCTGGAGACCTTTGACAGCTCCGTCATGTTGCTCACTGAGAAGCTTGTACATGTCTTTCTTCCGAAACTGATCCTTGAGATCGAACTCGAGCTGATTGTTTTCAAAGCGATACCTGAGGAAGCTCTCATGGTGAAGCACCGAGGCCTGCAAAACAACGAAAACAGTAATATATATAGAAACCTAAGTGGAATTCACGAGGGGGTGTAAAAGTGTTTATTCCTTACCCGATTCAGCACCTGCTGCGCCTCGTTAAAAAGACTTAGCACACCCACTAGAGCGGATAGAACCTGAGCATCCTCCGGGACTGTAAGAATGACAGTTCTCTTGCGGCCGAGCACCACGCTCGGTGCGGGAAACTTCTTCACCAGTTTTGGGCTCGATCTCGACCCGCCAGCTCCCGAGGGCACGTCCTTATTCAGGATCTCCACGTCGCCCAGCCTGGAAAAATCTTCCAATGTGGACATGTCCATGCGATCGAAGAAGGAGCGGAGAGGGTCATCTGCACCCTGAACTCCTTCACTTGACTTTTCCTTGCCCGCTTGGGCCTCTTTAAGCATGGACTCTATATAGGAGGGAGTCTCGATGATATCAACCACATCGGTCACCTCCTTCAAAATAGGAACGGTTTCTTGGGAGGTCATAGTATCTACCTCCACTTTGGCCTCTCAAATCGGAAGAGGATCGGCCTCGTGGCCCCTTCCCTCGGTTGTCACCTGCTCCCCGGCAGGGGTCGATCCATGGGAGACAAATACGTCGTATTCTTCGGACTCATCCCTGAGTAGGTTAAGAAATACAGGGTCTGGCATGAGCCCGGGAAGCCGCCCTCTTTTTCATCTTCACCTCGGGACCTGGGGAGTCCAGGGAATTTCTTTTCCCCTTCTTCTCCCCCGCGGTAGCCCCAGACTGTCCCGTAACAGAGGGTTCAACGGATAAAGACGCATCCTCATCCCATTCCAGCGGCCTAAGTTCAGTAATCTTAGGCAAACCTGTGGAGGAAAAGGAAAAGAAAGTCAGCATTATGTAAGTTGGGGGCATAATAATAAATATTCAGGGAAAAGCCTTACCATGAGAACAGGCCTCCCATCTGCCCTTCAAAATTTGCGCCACGCGCGTTCCAAGTATGACATCTGCTTGCAGATTCCTTCGATCCATTCCTTGAGACCGCATTGGGAACAGGGCAACAGTTGCACGACCATAAATACTGGCAATGAGAAAGGAAATAAAGGAAAATTGACACTTAAGGAAACATTACACTTACGAGATGCATTTTACTTATCAGGGAATGGCAGGAACTCAAGAGGGATCAGATCTTCAGTTTTTACCCGAACAAAATGCCCTTGCCAACTCGGTCTTGATCCTCATTGATGCTCGAAAAAGGAGCCTTGTTAGCCCGACGAACAAGCTTGATTAGTCCCCCTTGGAAAATTCGGGGACTGTATAGACGGAGTAGGTGAACGAGGGTGAATCGAGAAGATTCGGTGTTGTTCACAAAATAACGTAAGAGGATCATGATCCTCTAAAGAGACGGGTGGATTTGCCGAGGCACACCTCGTACCTCTTACAAAAGGCCAGAACTACTGGGTCTACTGGGCCCAGCATGAAGGGTAAGTGTAAACACTTAAATAACCCTCCACATGGGTAGTAATATCATCCTTAGGCCCGGGAACTACCATGCCCTTCCCTTCCCATTTATAGTCCTCTCGGACTATGGTAAGGGTATCTTCGGTAATGGAGCTTAAGTATCTCCATGCTCCTTCACCTCGGTCTTGTTTTCATAGGGGGCTCTTGGTCCGCTTCGGGAGCAGTCACCTCGGGAACAGCCACCTCGAGAATATATGCCTCGACATCTGTGGCCAAGTGGGAAGATGAAGAGGCAGCATGCTGAGGAACTGATTTGGAAGTCTTAGCCATCGCGATGTGGAAAGTGTGAAGATTTGAAGGAAAAGTATGAAGGTTTGAAGGAATAAGTATGAAGGTTGAAAAAAAGAGTGAAGGTTTGAAGGAAGGATGAAGATCTGGGTAGAAACCTAAGAACTTGAAGATTTGAAGATCAAAGATGAATATATGAAGACTTGAAAGAGCAGGAAGCCGCTAGAGAATTAGAAGGTAAAAGCTAGGATCGGAAAGTATAAGTACAAAAGGTCGAAGCTTTTATAGGAGAAAATGTAATCAATACGCGACGTTTCACATTCGGAGGTGACCAGCCGATGATCGACTCGTGTCCGAAGTTAGAATGACGCGATTGATGGGATGTTTTAGCTTATTTGTCATCTTGGTTATAACGTATGAAGGAAGGAACCAGGGTTCATCTATCGTTTCCCATCATTTCGGCTAACGTACTCTCTCAGAAACGAGGGGACTATCTGTATACGGGTGAACTCGGGGTAAAACCCCGACTTTCCGGTAAGTCAAACGAAGTAAGAGTATGAATGTCTGAGATTGAGACTGAAGTTGGGAACTCTTTGGATCGAGGCTGGAATGGGATACTCGCCACCAAACCCGACAAGACAACACTCTTTGAACTTAGAACGAGCTCCAAGACCTTGGAAAGAACTACAAACGGTTACACACGACTAACAGAGGGTCGTGATATCAGCACCCAACAAGATATCACGGTACGGATCTCGCTCGATGTCGGTAGTGTATCAGTAATTGACGAGAAAGGAGGATTTTTATATTTTTTAGAATTGTACTAGGGATGAAACTCTCCTACTATATAAAAGGAAAGCTTTTTATTCAATAGAGACACTGTAACACGCATATCAAGGCAATACAAACTTATTTCTCTGATTTCTAGCTATTAAAAAGTTCTTATTTTAATCGTAGTTCTTCAAATACATTTGGCTCCGAATCGAGGGTCCGGTCGAGGACAAAACTATTGTTCAGCTTAAGTCCGAGCCTGGCCTTAATGTCACAATTGGTTTGGTTATTTATTTTATCTTAATTCGTCTATCTAATATTCTTGATTACTTGTATTGAATCAATCCACATATACTTAAAACCCCGTATAAATTTAATTGTTACCCGCTTTAAGAGTAAACAACAACAAATACAACATGTGTCAAGCGCAACGAATACAACATGTATTATACGAGAGCTTGTTGCTCTTTTATTTCAGTTCAAAATAATTGATCTTTTATTTTATGAATTTGCTATAAAGTTCAAATATAACCACGAATAATAAATTTATGAAAATATAACTATGGATGATAAATATAATGTATATGTTTGATGTAACAGCGAAATTTTCCCAGAAAAATATATGAAAACAAGAGAGCACTTTTCGATATCAGATTAGCTAAATGTGTTAAAAATAGATTATAACAAGCAGGGTAAAATCAATTTCCACTCTACACTTGCTCTAATCAACAAAACATGCAGTGTTATTTTTACTCTTCGACCAAACACCAGTTCTTCTTCTCCCACCTTTACCAATATCACGACTCCACCAACTTTATGTCTAATCAAAATTCAAAAGATCATTAAGAAAATAATTCCTTTGTAAATCACTATTTAGAGAAAGCACTTTCAAAAAATCAGTTTAAATCATACTCAAGACTCGAAAAAAGAAGGCAGAATACATTGGCAGCCCCTTAATGTTGTTCATACTTTTCACTTAGACACTCCATCTTAAGTCTGTTCTATTTGAACACTTTAATCAGACCCTCAGTGTGTCATTTAGACACAAAATTGATAGGCAGATAATCACAAAAAGTGCGTGTAATTCACATGCCAAAGTGACGAATAAAATTAAGACACGTGGACTTAACTTAGAGAAGTTTGAAAAAGGTAAAAAGAAAAAGAAAAAAAATAGCATTATGGTGCCGACCGACGAATGCTGAAGCTGCGGAAAGCTGCCAGGTCGTGGACTCAATTCTCTTCTCTGCTTTAGTTCAGATTCAATAAGATGGGAGAATCAAAAAATCCTGCAAATTTTTTATTCTTCATACCAAACCCACTTTCCTATCATTAACCGCACCTTGGATCCTTATCCGGCGAAAGAACAACGAAAATAAAAAGAATCTCCCATTCTCTATTTGTATCCCTCGGTTTCTCCTATGCATTTGCAACTGTAAAATTCTAATTCTCTAGTCCCATCCTATAGTGCTGGTACCTTTTCCTCACTCACCAGTTTTCATTCTTCCCTTTTAATTTTTCCCATTATTTTTCGGTTATCATTAGGTGTTTTCCACCATTAGTTCCGGCAACAATTTCCTCGCACCTCCAGTGAGAACTTCACCCAATTTTTATTTCGCCAACGTCTTTCTTCTTTCTTCCAATTGGCTAGGTTTCCGATTGATCTACCGTACGTCCCATTAACCAGAACTTTACATTAGAGCTTGGTCGGGAAAAAGCAAATGATAAGTTTATAGTGGGGGTGTGCTCAGATTTAAAGGAGGATACGGTAGTAATGGGGTGAACAAATCGAAAAAAATTAAAAGAGAAATTCACCAGAAAAAATTCCGGCAGAAGCTATTCATTTTCGGGCAAAAAGTATGTGAATTTTATTTTTTTGGATGATTTCACGTGCTTGAAAAATATGAGAAACACTTACTTTGCCATGTCAGTATGAAAAGGGTGGACAAACTTTAAGTGGCCGTCGATATATTATGCCAAAAAAGAAACAATGTGTTTGTTTAAATGCTTTTACAACTTGCTTTTTACTAGTCAAATACTCGTCCAAGACTCCAAGTCACACATATTTGAGTACAGATTATCAATTACAGCTTATTTACCATTCACAATGCATATAAGGACGCAACTTTTGCTTCAAATATCAACAAAAAACAAAATGCTTAAACACAATAAGTAGCACACCATATATGCTTCTCAATCGAACTTTTTATTGGGAGACCCGACTTGCCTTTCCATCAGTTCCGGGTACCTGCATTTCTTCACTAACCGGACCTCCATAACCCGGAACAACTCCTGAATTCCTAACTCCATAGTACATTTGCTGATTCATTCCTTCTGTAACAACCCTTGCAGCAGCAGAAATTTCATTCGGGTCAACACCCATTACTGGCCTCATTCCACTGTAAACTTGCCCTATACTCGAAACTGGTGGATACCCGACAGGTAACTGATTAGGAGGAACTGGGAAAGGATGAACATATGGAGCCCGCATTGGAATGGACTGAACCGGAATGCTCCCGGGTTGATGAACCGGACCTGGAACATAGTAAACGGGTATTGTTTGCACCGTTGGTGCCGGGTAATGCCAAATCGGACTACCCGGATAGCTTGGTTGTTGCCGTTGAACCGGCGTCTCTTTGGATTCAGTTATCGGGTTTGGCTTATCGGGCTTTGTTTTAACGGGTGGTAGATCCGGAATCATTGTCATAGCTGATGACGTCATTGTTGATGATATAGAACAATATGGGGAAGAAACAATGGGTGGAGCGGGTGAACCCGGATCCGAAATGATCTTATTTTTCCCGAATCTTGATTCACGGGGTGGATCATCAGAAGCATCCAACCCAAACAAATAATCCGGAACTTCAGAAACAATTGATGATGCTTCGGACCGCCCACGCTCTAAACCCGCACCTGAACCCGGTCCACCATTAAGAGCGTCAACAAACCATTGCTCTCGTTTAGCTGAACCGTCAAGGATGGAGCTGATAGTGCTGGCTCTAGAACCTGAATCGTTAGGAAAAAGGAAGAGCCGTAGCCGAGCGGATTTCTGATTCTGAGTTAGCCGATCATATTCTTCCATTAAATTCTCTACGTCTTCGTCGGTGGTGACGGTTATTAAAGCGTCAAGGTCCTCGTTAGGGAGCTGATATTTGATGTTAATGTTGGAATTTCCGGCCAGTTTTGAGAGTTTTCCGAGGAGAGCTGCAAAGGTAGTGTGGCGGTTCACGGCAACGATTCGAGTGTCGCCGCCGACGTAGCGGAGTTGGTTGTCGTGTGGCCTGAGGATGATTTTGCCACCGAAGCTGCACATGAAACGGGCACGTGGCACCTGTGGAGCGGTAGTGGTGTCGTCGTACGTGTGGTGATGGTGGTGCTCGGAGCGAGGCGTGGAGGCTAATGAGTCGCCGTTGACGGAGTCGAACTCCGGCGGCGCGTGATGTGACCCGCTCATTACTGCAAATGGAAAATGGAAGAGACGGTTAGTCGATTTGTTACTGTTATTGGTACTGTTACATTGAACTGGTAACTGTAGCCTTTCTATTCGAAATTAATTTGATGAAAAAGCAAAAAAGAAAAGAAAAGAAAAGAATGATTCGAAATTGTGAAAAATGCGGACTTGAAGAAGTTACTAGCTGCTCATGATTATTAGTATAATTTATGACCTAACAAAAACTCTCTCATCTTATGAAGAAATTTAGTTGACTTGTCTCGTTACATGGATAGGATTTAAGTTTTACATACATTGAATTGTAAAAAAATGTTACAATTTAGTTGACTATAACAGTAACTGTGTATGTATTTCATATCAATTTAACTTGAAGGTATAAAAAAATTATATTTTATCGGTTTAAAATATATAAACTCGCATAATTTTATAAAGTTCAATGATGAATCAGCAACCACAGTAATCTCACATTAGACTTTAAAAAAAGGGAAAGAAGACCAATCTCATTACAGTAATGTTAGTGGTTATTTTAATAAAGTATCATATGAAAGATTCGTATTTGATGATATCAGCATTTGTCAACTTGCTATAAATAACCTTTGGACGGCTTAATAAACTATGCTTATTTGCTTGTTTAAACTAAAAGGGAAGACAAAATTAGAAAGATGCCTATTGAACACAGCACGTCACTGGATTAGGCCATTTAACACGAGGGTTGGCTAATTCCCTTATCAATGCTGATCAAAAGACAATAATATGATTAAGCCAGGAGCATACATGCGAGTTTACTTGGCTCAAGTCAACAATTAATGCGTGATTTTTCTTTTTTCAGACATACAACAGACTTAATTTGACTTATTCCTTCTATTTATCTCATTTTAAATAATATCGTTATTATTAATATTGTCTGAAGTGGAGTAGTAATATTTTCTTTGGTTATAATTAATTTTCTTAAAACCTTTTTTTAAATAAGTAATTCTTCAAAAAAGGTATTAAATAGTAGTAGTAAGTAATTTCACTCTTCCACTCAGAATCTCATCATCCTTTTTAACTAAGGTATCGTTATTTATCATGCTACTACGTATATAACCGTTCAAGCGCGTATTCATGGGAGAAGCCACATGGTCATAAGGCGGTCAATTGACAACCCTTCATCGAAAAATTATACTGTATATATAGGTAAAATATTATACGTTTTAGAGATATACAACACATATTGAACACCCTTTGTCGTGAATTTTTTTCATTTCTTTTAAATTTGAACACCCTTGGAAAAATTCCTAGCTTCGCCACCGCATATATTACTATTCTTACCATGTCGTCATGAGTGCATACTATTATGACAAGCTAAAGTTACTTTAACAGCAGCACTACTAGTTTTTCTACTCTGGCTCGGGCATGCTGATAACAAATTACTTCATTTAGGATCATTTTATTTTTTGTTTTCCTTTAGGCCGGGTAAGTCAGACTAAAGATGATAAAACGCTCTCCACCAAAACCTTTTCATGCATTTGCGAGAATCAAAAGCTCTTGTTAAGGGTAGTTCAATCGAATTACAACCTAAGAAATCTACTTATTTACTTCAATTACGCAAACATCGAATCAGAAAGGATAAGGTTCAAGGAAAGAGAACCAATTCTTTCAAATGAGCTAGTATCTTGTAGTTGCAAGGACTGTTGGTGGCCACGTTTAGTCTTCCCTCCTGCCAAAGGTAGGCAAACATTTGGAATATGCTAATGTTTTCTACCCTCTTTCATTTATTTCTCTTCTTCTTTTTGTTTAAGTGTAGCTGTGTGTAGGACAAAAGAATTGACAAAAACTAGAACGCCTCAAAAGCTTCATGCTTGAAAGTTGATTCCGTGCAATTTTACATTACTTCAAGTGCTTATTTTGCTACAATAGACTTCAAATTCTCAAAAGAATGAGGATCATAGAACTATCAAACAGAAATCAATGAGTTTTAATTACAAGCTTTCATATAGAAGAAGAGTTGTGATAATTAAATGTCATAGTACGATCAATATTCAATACACAACTATGATTGATTTTTTAAATACTAGTAAAAGTAAGACGAAATGGATATTGAGGTTCATGTAACTGGACTTCAGTGATTAGTTTTGAAATTGAAACATTTTGAACAGAATTGAAAGAACCGTCAAATAGAGAAGAGCAAAAAAGAAAATGAAAGCATTTAATCAAACAGGAGGGCTTTAATTATAGAATGGTAACTTACATGATAGAGACTTCAAACTCTTTGATGTCAAAGACCAGAAGAGTATAACTTCTGCTGCAAATTTGGCCTGCAGATTAAAAGAAGAGGGAGAAAATGTTGGAAAGAAACGGTGGGATATATAGTGGAGCTAAAAAGGTTTTAAAAAGGGGGAAT